CACACACACATATACACACACACACACACACACACACACACACACTCACACACTCTCTCTCTCACACACACACACATAAACACACACACACAGGTGAACGGAGCAGCAGAAGTGAGTCAGTGATTTACAGGCATTTTCCTCCACAGATGTTTATTAATGTTGATAGTCTGACTTGAATTTCGAGCTGATTCTTTTTGCTTACGTGTTTTTCCAGCAGTTCTGAGAGGGGAAATATAATCTTTATGTTTACCTCGTCTCATTTGGATAATGTGTCATATAAATGCTAAGCTCAGGGAGTTACGGCAGGATTTCGGCGTCTCTGCTGTAGTAATGTTTGATCAATTTCTTACTGTGTTTATGAAGTTCTGCGCGATTTCAAACATGATGCAAATGAACAACAGCAGAATATTAGTCCTGAAATTGTCTATTTACTCACATTCTCTCTCTCTCTCGTTATGTTTATTGTGGTTGGGACTCGGTCCAGCAGCCATCTTGGCTCTATAGCGTTAAAGGCAGCTGGTTTAGTTAACGGTCCGCTGGTCAGGTTAAAGTGAAACATGCGCTGAGGGAATGCTCCTGTCACATGCTAATTGAAACACAATCAGAGCAGACGTGTGTTTAACCGGCTCTAGATGAGACGCGACTCTAAACAGAGCTGAGCGTAACGTGACTGCTATCAGTTTATTGCTCTGAAGTAATAGAGAGGCCTGTCCTGTGCTTCAATAGTATTGCGTTCTCTCTGATCTCAGATCTCCTGTCTACTTTACATACAGTTTGATTTGCAGATTTTGTTTCATTCCAAGTAGCCTACCTGTATCTGTCCATGTGGCTCATGTGTTTCCTTTGAAGTTACTTTCAGTGCAGTAATGGCTTTTACGTTTTCATTATGGCTATATTAGCAGAAGTATTTAAAGAATTCAGTAAATGCATTTAAAAAAATACTAAATCAGATCATTATTTTTTTAACTGGATTAAATTGCATATCAAATAAAACTGTCCAGATTTTGCAAAACTTTACAAAACCCACACTGATTTAATGTTAGATCAAATATTAGCATCCCTAATTAGAAATACATTAGAAATACATTCATAAGAAATGTAAAGACTAATTCAGTGAAATTAATAGGTGAATTACATTAATAAGTGCTTTTGGAAAAGTTAATTGGTAATAAGTAACATTATATAATTTCTAGATTGTTCTGCCTGTATGGGTGATTTATTTATGAAATATTATAAAATAACAATTTGAGTTTATTTGACAGTTTATAATATATATTTTTTTAATTACCCATAACTTAATTCTGGTTGTTTGTAGTGAAATGTGTGTGTGTGTGTGTGTGTGTGTGTGTGTGTGTGTGTGAGAGAGTGCGTTTGTTTGATGTATTCCGTGTGCTGGCGTTCGCTGCAGGTGTTTATTTGGAGGTCACGGGTAAAATAATTCAGAAAGGAGCTTCACATGAAGGTGAGAATGAGAAATGAGGATTTTCTTCCGTTCTTTTGACTGTGTTTTTGAAGGGATAATCTGATTATGTAATCTTTGTTCTTGAGCTTCAGTGTCTCTGCGGATCCTTCAAACACGAGTGACATAAAGAGTAATCTCACAATTATTTCCACAAGCACCTGCATGAATACATATGACTCTCTCTGTCACACAGTTGAATTTGTGTGTGTTTTTTTTGCTGGCTCTTTTTGTCGTTGTAATAATTTCAACTAACAATAATGACCCTTAAAAGACACCTGAACCCCACGTGAGCGTGTGTGATGGGTTCTCTCTCAGGATGTCGTTACGGTGAAGCTGCTCTCCGGCCTTCTTACATAATGAGTCTGGAGTGACCTATTAAATATCAGTTCACACAAACACATCGACTCGCTCTCATTGTACTTCAGTCTCGTTTCCTCCTGCTGTCTGTCATTCTGTAGAAATGAACGGTGGCATCTCAAAATGAGACTTAAATCGAGCTCAAAATGAATAGTTAGAGCAATGAAAGTCTCCCAGAGACTCTGACAAATATTAATGTAACTTGAGCAAACGCAGAGACAGAGAGAAAGATAAATGAGGTTTTGTAGGTTCAGGAGGGTTTGTGTTCTTACAGGCCGTGGTCATTATTCACAATATTCCCTTGTTTACTTGCTCATTTGCTGACATTTATTTCTTTTTCTCCCTCCCTTCTTCCTTTATTTGCTTGCAGATGTGACCAAGAGTTTTCAGAAAGGTAAGACATTCGCTTTCTGTTACATTTATTCGGATGTATGAATGACATCAGTGTTAAAGACTATATGCAGTTGAGTTCTGCACAGAATCAATGGGGAAATATTATCTTTTTTTATTTTATTTCCAAATATTGCCCCTCAAAGCTGCTACTGAACAATGACTATACTTTTTAAAATCTAAAAATTAAATAAAATAAATAAATAAAACATCTTATATTCAGGTCAAAAATTACCTGAATAGACTTTATTGTAACTTCAGAAAATGTTCATAATTTTCCTATTGATTTTGTGCATGAACATTTGTATATGCTTATCTAGATATTTTCACAATGGAAACATTTTACCACCTATATGTCAGTGGTTTTATCAATAGAAAAGTATTATGTTACAACAGATAGAAAACTGAAACTGAGAATACTTGCAAGCTTTAGACATTTGAACTGACTATTTTTATATTCTAAAACATTTTTTTTAAATAATTTACTATCAACCAAAGAAATGTCTCAAATATCTAATTGTATAATATAATATAATATAATATAATCATATTTTGAGAAAAAAAAACATTCTGGAAGGGGTTAGTAATCCCTGAAAACTACTGTTCTGCACATGTTTCTCTGATGGGTAAGTTTAGGGGTTAGTGGTTGGGTTAGATGATGGAAAATATAATTAAACTGATAATATATCAATGGAAGTCTGCAATGACCTCACTAAGATAAGATCTTGTGAACTGTGTGTGTGTGTGTGCGTGTGTGTGTGTGTGTGTGAGTGAGAGTGTGTGTAAGTGTGTGTGTGTGTGTGTGTGTGTGAGTGAGAGTGTGTGTAAGTGTGTGTGTGTGTGAGTGAGAGTGTGTGTAAGTGTGTGTGTGTGTGAGTGAGAGTGTGTGTAAGTGTGTGTGTGTGAGTGAGTGTGAGTGAGAGTGTGTGTGTGAGTGTG